TTTTTCAGGCTTCTTCTTTCCAATTGCATAAATTGGAAAATTTACTGCGATGATCATTCTTCACTTTCACAATATAAAGTGTCAAAAATCGAAAGTTTTGATGAATGAATTATTTGAAGGGAGATTGAAACAACGCAGTGTGGAAAAATGCAAAGCCATCCTTTTATGTTATGTTATAATGTAAACACAGCTGCAAAATTCAGTGCATTACAACAAAAAGTGGCATAGGAGCCGCATAGTAGACCATTTCAACCGTTGGCAGCTTCGATTCCGGGTCGTGATTTCAGCGTGATGTCACAGCAGGCCGCAAGCACGAAAACGCGCGAGCTCTGGGACGAGATTGACTTAAAACGAAAGCAACACTTTTGTAACATGTTGTTTTAAAAGGAGATATACAGTACAGGACACGTGAGTGCATTCTCTAATATCAGAAGCATATCACCTTGAACTAGGTGATATGCTTCTGCTAATATTCAAAACTTCTGCTCACTTCATCGCGCTTCATAGAACTTCTAACGAAATCACGCTCAAATTGCGCTGAAATTGAAGCTGATCAGTAAGACTGTAGCATCGCATTAGAAACCGCGACAAATCGCTTTATCGTACACATAAATTTGTGAGATGATAACAGGTGTCCATGACCGAAAAATGTCTCTACAAATTGATCTGTGAAATATCTACTTAAGTCGACTCCTGGCTATAATGGCTGTAAACTGAACCACTGTCAGACCAGCAGCAAAAACTACTGAGTTTAGCCTTACCTGCAGTTTAGCCTGCCAGCAGATGTCTCAAGTACGGGTACTCCTTTTCCTCAGTTGTCAGCCGGAAACAATTACAAGCCGATAATTAACGTCGAGAAAAGCTTATCAGTTCAAAAATAACCAATGCCGGATATTCTGAAAGTGGTACTGACCTCAAAAAATCTTTTAAAAGGACATTAAATAACCGGAGTTTGTTGTGAAAGTTGTTAAGCTCTCTGTGGTTAGTCATTTAATACTAGACCTTCCAATAACACGCGACCTCTGTTCTCGTGTTTCGCCCTCGTCTTAGAGGACCCCTCAGGGGTTTACTCCAATGGGTTGTGATTGGCAGATTTCGATCAATTTTGTTTGTTTTTTCTGTTGTCGCCGCAGTTGTGATTGACGGCAGCCAAAAAACACAATCGTTACTTCAGAGTTCGCGCGTATTACGTATTGTAAGTATCTCACATGGCTATCATACAGTTGACCTGCCAATGCCGATTAACTATTGCCATGTTTTCTGAAAGCTTCAAATAACGACGTTTTGTTGATATTAAGGAAAAACTGCTTTTCAACGTCGATTTCTAAAGGCACAGTGGAAAACTTACCCACCATAATAGAGGCCCTGTTAGGGGTAAATTCCGACAAGCGACATGGCCCTGAAACGGCGACATGAGAGCCACGAACTGGCGACAAACGACAGACTACTTCAGCGAAATAGGGAAAGCGACACCAATGTCAAAATAGACTGACAGCGAATTTCGGATTTGTGAATGCAGTGAATGTGTTAAACAATAACGTCAATAACATTTCAATAAAACCAATACAACAAGTCATAAATACGTCTCATTTTACCGACTGAAATATATTA